TTTTATGTGCATTTTTGTGCATATTAGCGAAAAACAAAAATGTAGCTACTAAATTCTAACCACTCAGCATCATTCGTACCTGCAAGTACTTAACGGCGTTTATAATTTTGAGATTGCAATATTTCTTGTTCATATCTCCTTTGGAGGTAACATACAAGGTCATTTGGGGTTGGATATTTTTAAACAGGAGTAAAACATCAGCTACTACGATTCATTGATACGTCCTATTCTAGACTCTCAGAGCCTTAAGTAATTTATTGTATAGCATAATGTTTAGAATTGCAAAGAACATTTGTATATTATGATTAAATAAATGAATTCCATAACAAATTCCCTAGCGTTTTTAATATTTTAAATGTCTAAAAATAGGTGCTTTTCACGAACGCTTCGTGGGTTTGGGATGCGATAAAAATCATGTTTTCCAGCAATACTTTAATCTATGGAAGTGTAGTCGGCAAACGGAAAATTTTAGGCCGCTGTCGAATAAAACGATTTTCTTTTAACGGATTTTCAAAGAAACTTGTCAGCGCTGCGAAACGTACCGAGGGAGTAACTTTTCTGTGATCCGGTTGCAAAGTGTATATTAATCACGCAACTTTGCTTGAACGATTACCTTTCTTCCCCCTCTCCGGCCCAAAACAGTAGAAGGCAAAAGCTCGCAGCGAACACTGATGACAACCAGGATGACAACATTCCTAACACATCTTCATTGCGCGGAATAGAAAATATTTTCTGTTGAAGACGGGAACTTCTGTCCGTGATTTTCTCCCAAAAATCGAATGAAATGACCGAAGAAAGTGAAGATCCATCATAGGAGATACCTCGAACTCCTTAGAACGTTCATACGCAAATTATTGAGAAAGTTGCCACGGTATGACTGGTTCTCCAGTGATTGGCATTGCTTCATAAAATCTAGTGACCGATTTTGTAACTAATACTCTACCCGCATGTCTTCAATCCATCGTTCAAGAAAAGTTGCGCGAGTAATAACAGTGTGTTTACAATTTCTGAAAAGGGAGAAAGTGAAAATATACGAAAGATGTTGAGTAAAACTATATTATATTATGTTATGTTATATTTTGTAAGTATGTTTTTCATTATAATGTAAGATATGTTGTAACTAAAGCATGATATATTTTATGCCAAGTGTGCACTGAGAAAAAAGAACCTATTTCCCCCCCGAATCTTTTCTGTTATATGCAATGCTCTATAGTGTAATTTTACTTTTCTGTTATTATAAAAGAGAATCCGTTGTTTTATTCGTACTGTCGGTGCCATTGTCAAAAAAGTTTCGTTGTTTTTTTTGACAACAGATCAAGTTTCATTACAAATGTGTAATAAACACTCAAATAAATGCTCACAACTGTTGCAGCCATTTTCGAAGTGTATGTGATTTAAAATGGTCAACATTTTTGTTTTTTTATCTGCAGCTCAGCAATGGAAAAAAAAATCTGAAAAAATTCCAACGTTTTGTGTTTTGAGAACTTTACAGATTTCTTCCAAGCCTGTTCCAGAGTTCTAAGACAGTAAAAACAATTTTTTGTTGTGTTAAAAAAACTGCTTTGGAATTTGGCACTGAGAAAATATTTCAAAAATGTTTTTCTAATAAATTATTTTTTTATTTTATTCAACCAGATAAAATCATGTTATGTTGCCAAAAAAATTGAAAGAAAAAAAACACATTCTGGCTGAGGGATGTGGGTGATGGGACGGCAGCGAAGAAATCTTTCAAAAATATTGTTTGTTTGAATTGCAGTATACTACTCTTATGCCACTTGATTTAGGGAAACATTTTTCCATCTTGTGCGGGGGTGACCCTTTGCCTCCCCAATAAAAGATTTGATATTGGACTGTCACTGGAAAAAGAAAGGAAAGAAGATAACTACAAATTCCCTTACATCTACATTACCCTTATCAAGGGTAAAGAAGATAAGGAACGAATGTCAGACTCCAAAATTCGGTAAGAAGCATACTCTTATGAAGGTTACCCTTATTATTGGAACACTACTAGAAGAAACCCCTAGAAGAAGGCTTCACAACTTTAGATGAATAAAAAAGAGTTGGAGAAAGAAGAAATTTGAAAACGCTAGGCAAACAGGAAGAATGCAGAACAGGAGAAAATAAAAGCTGAAGAATGTCGAGCTTTAATGAAAGGGCCAAAATGGAAAAAGAGAGCAAAAGTAGAGGAGAAAATTGAAACAAATGTACTGTTGTAATGGGCCCAAATCTGAGAAGCAATCCTTATTGAGGAAAAGAGGATTCAAGTTTCTTGGCCTTTTTGCCATTCCTCTATTAAAACAACAACAACAACAAAATTGATAAGACGGAGTGTCAGTATGAAGGAGTCATTTGAGAAATGTATATAAGCTACTAGGGTGAGGTGGAGGTTGACTAATATCTTATGAAATTACATGGCTAAGCAGAACAGTGATATAACCCATCAAAAATTAAAAAATGAGTTATTAATCAATTTGTTATGTAGAAGATTAACTATTTTTGAACATTCTGAGGTGAATCAAATTTTTCCCCAGGAAGTTACGCATGAACTCATTATATTTTTGTCTTTACTAATGTAATCCCACCGTTATGTTGATTCGTTTATTGAATTTTGATAACATACAATGTCCTTGCTTCATGACAGGATAGGCTGGAAGGTATTCCATAGCCCCTCCTTGATACAAGGACATTCATAATGCCTCCCCTCGACAATATCTAGGTGGTGTTTCTCCATAGCAGCCTACTGTGAAATCTACTTTTGAAATAAAACCCTGAGAAATCTTCCATTTGAATGGCAAAGAAGCATTAGCATTCAAATACTACCCTTCACGTATGGATAAAATATGGGAGGTTTGCTGAAAATTTGCGCTTTTAATTTATTTAGACTGCAGAAAGCTTTTTTCAGAATTTTTTTTTTAAAGGACGCTTTATTTGGGCAATATAATGTATTCCTATTTGAAAACTTCAAGAACTCCAAAATATCCTTCCTGCATACTGTTCTAACCCACAACTTCTGTTACAGTTTCTAGTTTCACATTTCTTTGCTTTATGTTCTTACTTTGCCCTATTAACTTCTTACTGATAATTTTCACTACTCCTTATTTGTACCATTTCTAAAGATTTCTAGTGAAGCCTTGTCTATTGCTACAACATTAATGGTTATACTCTGAACTTCTCTTTCATGTATCAGTTAAGTATTGTTAAATACTTCGAAAATATTTCAGTCATTGCTGCTTTGTCATCACCTGCAAATCATATTTACTAGTACCAAGTAGTCTATTACAATTGCCTGTATTGCATTTATATCAAACCTTAATTATTAAAACTCTGGCAATTTTGGATATTTTTTAATTTCTCGAATTGGACTCTTTCAAGTTATAAGGAAGAGGTTGTATTAATTTTATAAAAATACAAAAATTGTTTTTATTACAATATACGTCAATGAACTCTACATCTAGGTGGCCAAGAAGCAAAAACTGACTCCCAACAAAAAGAAATAAAATGTTTCTAACAGTGATACTGACCAAAAAATATATATTTTTTCAATTAACTTAACTCTACCTACACAATGAAAAACTTCTTTTTAGTTTTACTTTTTAATGGCTTTAGTAATAAATTGGTTGAAAAAAAGGTACTCTTGTAAGATTTTCTCCTTATCCATCATTTCCAGAAATTCGAATTTTAAACAGTTTTTTTTTTTAATAATTTTTTTTTTTTATCTTTATTTAAATAATGTTAATTTAGTATCAACAACTCGACTGATTTTTATATCTCATTGGATTATTCTCATCACATATAAATTAAGTTACAAGAATGAGGTTTGGAGAATTTATACCTTTCTATTTTAGATTTGTATTCAGACTTGAAACAGAAAACTTGAATCTTATCTCATTATTTAGAAGTGAACTCATTGAGACTGATATGAGAATTCAAAGGTGTATCTACTGTATGGTAGACACACCATTTGCCATGAATACCCCTCACAAGGGGTGCTATTTAGAGTATACCCACTAAAACAAATAACCATAATTTGAAGTATCCCAACAGGGTGGCAAATGCTTGCCATGGCATCTGAATACCTAGATATGCCTGTGTGAGAGTTGTGTAATTTTTTCCTAGTATTCGAGAGTAGAGAAGAATGTAATGAATATTGAAAATTTGTATTAATTTATAATTTTGAAACATGTTTGAAAAACAACACAGGAAATATATTTATTTTATATGCACAATTTGAGAAGTGTAATCATATTAAATAATCTGTACTTGATTTAATCATCATAGATATGCCTGCTACAGTTTAAATATCTTTCATTGATATATTTCCTAAAAAAAAAAAAAAAAAATAATAATAATAATAATAATAAATAATAATAATAATAATAATAATAATATCAGTTTTAGCTATTCAATTTTAAATTGTGTATAAGTCATAACATCTGAGAAAATGCTTGTTTCAGGAAACTGAAAACTTGGACAGGTTTTCACACTTTGTTAGTGAATAGATTATTTTGAAATTATAAATAACTATTGCTCTGTAATTACAGCATTAAATGGAAATGAAGTGCCAAAACTAACTCTTTTATTATATTTTAAAATATGGAAAATGGAAGCTTTTAAATAATGACTTTTGCTTCCCAAAAATTTTGAATAAAAACAGGAATATTTATTTTCTATTTCATTCCATATTTTCTATCAGAATAGGTAACGTTGTCATTTAATTATGTGGAATGAAAGCAACACAAACATACACAAAAATGTATTGAATAGAAAATTTTAACATTTTTTGGAGGGTTGTCTTAACTTGAAAGTAAGGAAAGGACAATAGTAAAAACTGAAATAGAAAATGAAATCATGTAAAAAAAGTGTTTGGTTTAAGTAAGTAATCTCGATACAAAACTGCAAGTCATTGTTATAAAAATGCAATTTCATCATAGCTCAACGAATAAATAGTTTTCCCTCCAGAACCCGAATAGGTTGACATTTGAATTTCTGTCAATTACGTCACTAGTTGAGAAGTGATTCTCAGGAAAATGCATGTGCGGTGAACGAATCTGTACCATTTCGAGGAGATTCGCATGCTGTATATAAAAGAATGGTTGTTCCGGTTCTTCATCAGTTCAGTAACTGCGCTCGGAGCGATAGGATGTGGAGTTGATGTGAGCTGTGGGCTTTGAAGTATGTTGGCGAGTGTCTTGGTGCCGGTGTAATGTGTTTGAGATTATAAGGTGAACAAATATAGAATAAGTGTGGATTGATAGAACGAAATTGAAAAGCCCGTGAGTTGAAAAGTAACAATAAGTATCTGTGATGGCAGACGTCCCAGAAATAGAAATTCCCATGCCTTGGGGACATGTTACCGGTAAGCATTCTCATTAATTCGAACATTTTAGTTGGCACTGACAGTTGTTCTCATGACTCTTGTTCATTTATTATATTTATATACTGATTTGTATGGCTGACAAGTGTTTTTATAACAGGAAAATGGTGGGGCCCAAGAGATAAACAACCGGTATTAGCCCTTCATGGATGGCAAGATAATGCTGGAACTTTCGACAAATTGGCTCCTCTACTAACTCCGCATATGGCTCTTCTTTGTATTGACATGCCTGGTCACGGCCGCTCTTCGCATTATCCCAAAGGCCAGTACTACTATTTGTTTTGGGATGGATTGTTACTTGTTCGACGAATTGTAAAACATTTCAATTGGAAGAGTGTGTCTATCATAGGACATTCATTAGGAGGAGCCATAGGATTCTTGTATGCAGCGTCCTTCCCAGAAGAAATTGATAAACTGGTTCAATTAGATATAGCTAGCCCAACAGTTCGAGACATCTCTAGAGTAGTTAATGACACCGGTACAATGATTGACAGGTTTCTAAAATATGAAAATTTATCTGTGGAGAACATGCCATGTTATAATTATGATGAAATGATTGGTATTGTGGTAGATGCATACAAGAGCTCTTTGACTAAAGACTCATCAGAAGTTATGATGAAACGAGGAATGGTCCCAGCTGCTTCAGCTACCACTAATGGAAAAGGTGATACTTATAATTTTTGTAGGGATGTGCGGTTAAAGGTTGCTGGAATGGGAATGCTTTCTTTGGATATGGTGCTAGAATATGCAACAAAAATTAAATGTGAAGTGTTAAATTTGAAGGCTAATCCTGGATTGCGTTTCGATAATCCACAATATTATGGACTGGTGCTTGACAAAGTTAGGGAGAATGCAAAAAGAGTTGTGTACCATGAAGTGGAAGGTACACATCACCTTCATTTGAATAATCCAGAGAGAATATCTTCCTACATAATTAGCTTTTTTAATTCAACAAATTTACCTAATGCAGGAGGTGATGCTGCAGCTTGATGCTAATGTTGACTGTTAGTTGAATTCTTAAGCTTAAATCAGTTTTATTTGTATGTGACAATACTGTATTTAAGTTGTACTTACAGATAGACTTTGCATGTCACATCAGATTGGATTTTGTCTATGAACAGTGAACAAGGCACACTGATCTAGAGAGTAGTTATTTATTATACATTTTTGTGTCTAATTGTGATGATACACAATATGATTAGGAATGATTGGAAAATCTTGTCACAAGTCTTTTACTTTTTTCCTTACTTTAAATGTAATACGAATCTACTTGAAGACAAATTGTTTCCATTCACTTTGTGTGTTACCCTTGGGCAGAAATATACAGATATAACAGGATTATACAGTTTTGAAATTCTGATTTTCAGATCATTTCTATTCCAGTGTTCAATGATGCATTCTTAATATTTGTTATATGAAGTGAAATTAAATTGCATCACAAGACATGGAATAAATTTCATTGAAGAGACATTCTCAAGATTGTTATGAATTTTAATCTACGAGAACAAACATATTTATAATTTCTATTTATTGTTTAACGCTTAACTGTCAAAATTATTATTATTGAAAATAGTGCTGGCACTATTAATTTATTGGTAATGCTACTGTAATTCTTTAAAGGTAATTATTTTTTTAAGGTAAGATTTACATTTGTGAAAGCAGTATTTCCCGTCAGAGGCTTTCCTCTGTTTGTTGTTCCAAGTAGTTCAGCTTCAAGATGTATCTTCAAGTTTTTCTTGAATTGTGCTCTAATACAATGTGTGATGCAATCTTCCTTACATTCAAGTTACCAAATTCTTCCACACATCTTGTGGTTTGACTTATTTTTATATGAAGCCATGAATGATGATTGTGCCTAGGCAGGAAGCTGAACTACTGTATTAAACCTTGCTTCCAGGAAGGTTATGCGATGTGTATTGTAAGTGGTGGGTGTGAATCTTGATATGCTGGTAGTCCTACTTAAATATTACCATTGAGATGGTACTTGTGATTTTGTGTGTTGTGTTTATGATATTTATGTTGTTGAAATGTAATTTATTTTTTGACAACGGTATTTTCAATAAATAGTGGAGATTCATTGCTGTATATTGTATTCAATGAGCCTCTCCCAATCACCAGTGCTTTGATTCTTCTGCATCGGTTAGAGGGCAGAGTTGTCAGTTGGGTCATAAAGATTGTTGTATTTATATCATTTTACTTTCAAAAAATTTTTGAAACTAAAGTTCAGTTGTATACTAGGTTGGTTTTTTTTCTCTTTCTTTCAACTTTGTATTTAGATACCAGTTATTTATATTAATTTTATTATCCCCTGATATGTGTAAAACATTGCTACTTTGGCAAAATTAATTTGTACAAAATAATGGCAAAAGTTTAATAAGAATAATAATTATTTTGTGACACACAAAGTGAACACACACGTTTGCAAAGTTTCTTAATGTGGCATATATATTGATAATTTAAAATGCTCCAAAGCTGATCACAAGTCAATGTAACAGAGGGTAGATCACATGTCAGGGTAAAGAAATACAGTTGTTTAAAATGATTTGTTATTTAAGATAATATTCAGGATGAGCTAAAAGGCACCTCAATATTACCTGCTACGACTCGTCACTCGAGATTTATCGCGCGTCGTAGATTAAAACTATCTTGGGCGAAACGGCCAAAGCGCTCGTGTGCCGTTTCGCATAAGATCAGTATTATTGTACGACGTGCGTCAACGCAACTTTCATGTTCAGGTACGTTAAGGACATCAATTATACAAGAAAAAGTAAACTTTTATGATAATCATTGCTAATTGATACATCTGAAGTAGTTGATTTGGTGCAGAGTTCCCATTACTGAAAGTTGCTTCCATACCGAAAAATTGATCGGTATATAGTAACTATCAATGTTATTGTGATCAGTAACTAATGTTAAAGAAATCTTTTAATGGCCCTTTCGAAATTATTCCACTTTGTGGTAACTGTCCTTTATATTTCATTAGTCCGAAGTGAAATCGTTTTCAATAGTGCCTTAAAAGAAATAAATCCATAAATTAAAAATTAAGTTATCTCTATCAAATGTACTTAAAATATTTTAATTATGTGAAATACAAAATAGCGATAGGACTTAAGGAGATGGGACTTAAACCTCCAAGCTTGTGCGGTCAAACACAAAGGGATGTCAACTGTAGGTGCGTTGTGATTCGAAGGGCCAGTTATTTTATTGCAGTCAATGTAGCTACTTCTTGTGTACTTTTTAGTGTAAGAGTATTTTCGTGTAAGCGGGAAGAAAGTGAGCATCGTATAGGTGGTCACCCAATCATTTTAATGTATCTGCTATTTTCACATGGGTCTGGGTACCGCACGTCGTTCTTTTTACGAAAAAAGTCAGCAATTGTATAAAAAATCAACCTCTGCGATTGTTTAACTCTACACAAATAACGAGAAATAAGTTTCTTTGAAAACGCTATTGGGCTTTAGCCCATTCGAAGTGTAAATCATGAAGACGGCTCAGTGATATTGTGGCGTCGTTAACACGAGGGCCAGAACCGTTAGGTTGGTGAAAGTACGCTGCGGGGGAGGAAGGAGGGGTTAAGCCTGAACATCCGGAGTTTGCGCTCTGGCGGTTGACTCATGTAGAGCCGCAGAGCCACAAAAATACCGTTGGCTGTAAACTCCGAGGAGGCTAGCTAGCGTGCCTCAACCGGAAGCAGGCAGCCAACCTGAGAATTCTCTGTGTGTGGGCGTAAACCAAAGGCTGGCCTGCGAGCCTCGCGCCAGTGCGAGTCTATCTATGGAACAGTGGTGGGGGTGTCAGCCTCAACTATTTAACGCGGCGTTATCTGCGCCCGCGTTCTCATTCAGTTTGCATCGGGTAGCTTGTACGTGTATGTACAAGGAGGGTGTAGGAGTGAGGGCGAGATGTCCGGAGAGTAAGGGCCAGACAATCTCACGTGCTGTAGGCACACGGTCGCCACGACCGGGTTAACTTTTGGCGTCAGGCCATGTGACGGTAATTGTCACGGGACAGAGGTCCGACGGCGCGCATCACGCGTGGCTTGTATTTTCTGCGGTAAAGCAGTGTTCCGAAAGGAAAAGGTTGCCGGAGTGTTTTAATATTAGCAATTCATTGTAACTTGTACATAATCTTTGGATATATTATTTTTATTTTGTTATTGAAATTTATTTCTTATTTCACTACGTCACAATATACGAGATGTCAGTAAAAGGAATTGGAAAGCTGGATTTTGTGCAAGATATTATGCGCAAAAAACAAAATATTCAAAATTTGAAGAACTCTCTGAAAAATGGACCAATAATGTGGTCATTCTTGACTTCAAAGTTCCAATAAATGTGCCACTCTCCCGGAACGGCTCCTCTACAAGAACTCTGAGGGTCCGTCTAGGAAAACGTTGGTGTTATATCACCACAAACATTCTCATATTATTTGTAACTTTTACAAATTTCGAAAATTCTGTAACGTAAATTGGACTTGCGCCATTTTTACCCTAATAATATTTAAACTAGTATATTTTTTTATTTTCTTTATTTGGTCTAATACTTTTATTGTATGTTCGAGTTTCTTCGTACTGACGTCCAATCAATCTCATTAAATTTTGGAATTCGTATTTTTTTGTAACATGATTTTGAGAATAATATTTTGTAATAAGCTGTTTTTTTTTTTCATTTTTTATATACATTTTTATACGCGTTTCTCCACTGACTGAGAGTCAGTGCCGACGGCGGACGCAAAAAATTCATATTCTGTAGGGATACGATGCATGTTGAAACTATCACTAACTCATTGGTATGACACATTTCAGATTCTTAGATTGAGAAAAAGCGATTTAAAAAATTCTTTCTGTACAGTGTTTCATCTTCCCTTTTTTGTCTGTACATATCTTTCTCTTTCAGCTTGAGTAACATTTATAAAATCAAGAGAGCGTAATTTATTCAGAGACGCCAATACTTTGCTGCGATATCCTTTCTTACTTTCGATGGGATTGCCGTGTAAAGTTAGGTTAAACAAATCTGACAAAGCTTTCAACACTTCTAGTGTGTGTGTGAAATCTTTTAACAAATTTCCATGGAGATATAAAATCTTTAAATTTGAAAACGATGCCAACTCGGAAGACACAGTTGAAAGCATGTTAAATGAAAGGTCCAACCACGTGAGTCGCTCAGGCTGCTCCAGAACCTGAAAGACAAAAAACAAGCTCTTTATCTGAAGCTAAACAAAATTAAAGAGGGATACATTTTTACTCAGAATATTTGCTGGGATCGCCTTGGAAGGAACGCAGGATATGAAGATTATTTGGGGGGGGGGGGCAATATAGGTGACATTGGCCAAAGGGGTTATTTATCACGTGGTGTCGAGAATAGAAATTTTGTTCTTTGTGATGTTCCAGGAAATAATTTTAAGAATATTGCGATAGTTGAATTTTTTTGGAGTCTTCATATAACTAAAATATTAAAGATAAAGATTTTTTCATTAATGAAATCTGCTTCTTAAAGATAGATTTGGAAAGAAGGTCATGTACAAGTTTTCAATATTTAAATACTTTTTGCATAATTTTGCGTGAAAATACGGGCAAGTACGTACGTGCTGATTTAGCACCACTAGTTTCTTTTGCATTTTTGGAATGACCTAAGTTTCCTGGAAAGTGTGCCGCACTGGAATTTTTCCACGTTACGACACAAAGAACTCAATTGATTTCAATTTCCGCCGTGTGTCTTATAGCACAATAAAGAATTCGTCATATATTTAGGTTGGGAGTGGGTAGACAACGGTGATCTAAAAATTACTTAAATTATCGTATCTTAAATGGTAGGACATTTAACCGGTGTACCGTCAGAAAAACACAAATTACCCCAGGTCGTCGAAGTTTTACCCCGATGACAATTCCAACATTTATTTGAAGTGAACAAATAATGAAGTTTGCAAAGAAAATTATTATTTTTGCTTCGAGACTGGAAGGTAACGTTTTCGGAAGAGCGGCGGAGCAGAGGATGGTTAGCTCAGGTTAGGTGCAACTACTTTTTTTATACACTAAACTATTGTTGATCAGGGTACCAAAGAGGGCGGTATCGACTGGGAGGGTCGATTATGATCAAGGGATCGGTTGTGAGCTAAGCCCTTTAAATGCAAAATTGTTTTTTAATAAAGAAACAAAATATTTAAGGCATAAAATTGATAAAGGGGACTATCAAAAAACATTAAAACAAGTTTTTAACATTTTCCTCGCATTAGTTTCTTTTTTATCAAATATTGCCATACAGCTACACAGTGGGCAAATAGGAAACGTACTAAATGGTATTCTTCTAGAAATAATTACAATAAAACTAGCCTTTATTGCTACGTCAATAATGAAATCAGTTCTTTGGGTTGGTAATATATACCCTCGCCCAATATTTTAAACATTAGGTCGTGAAAAACCACCTAGCAATGCTTGCTTTCCCCTTTTTTTACTTTTTACAGTAACAGCTGTTGAACTGCTTCCGGTGCACCTGGAAGGCGGTACCTTCTTTTTCAGTAAATGATATTTATTCCTTTCAGACACAATTTCATTTCAGTATTTTTACATTCTCTTTCCCTAGATCAAAAATAGATGTAAATAAATGATCAACATTTGAATTGATTTATATTAATTTTGATCTGAAACATGAAATACCTTTCGTAATTTTTGAACATAATGTGTCCCTTGATTATGAAGTTTGTTATTGTGCATTTCAAGAATTTCTTTATTTTCATTCGGCATCTGCACAGAATTGAACAATATTTTTCTGGTGAAGACAATTTTTTCTTCTTCACCGGAAAACATCACTGATGTGTTTCTCGTTGCTATATCAAAGAAAGGGACACTATGATTAAATTCTATAAGGTATTAACACATACATGTTTTATGGAAGTGAAAATTGGACAATGACCAAAAAAGATAGCACTAGACTACAGTGTTGAAATGAGATTTCTGAGATCAGTGGGTGGTTATGAGCTGATGGACAAGAAAAGGAATTTAGAAATTCGTAAAGAACTTGGGGTAAGTAATCTTCGTGAGAAAATCAATTACTGCCAAAATTCCTGCACACAGCACAACGAAAGGATGCAAGACAACTGCCTGAAAATAATTCTACAATACCACCCACAAGGGGGTATGAATCCTGGTCGCCTGAATAAAAGATGGGGACGGGAACGGAGGCGAAAAAGACAGTGCTTATAGACCTGAAGGAGAAGAGGAAGAATATAGCAAGCATTGG